CAGTTTTATTTTAAGGTCCATACTCAGGATCTAACTCAGCTCCCTTACTTGATGGCTCAGAAAGCAGTTATAGAAAATTCTCACAAAGCTGGCTGAGGGTGTTCTTAATGATCTCCTTTCACTAATACAGATCAACCATAAACAGAGCATATCCTTTGTCCTAGAGAGTTTGGCACCCAGAAGCAAAATTCTTTTGGCATTGGGCAGATTCTCCGGGACTGAGTCTCTCTAGCTGAGGGAACATGTGCCATCCTTTGAAAATTAGAGCCCTGTGACTGTTTAATGTGACCTTGGTCAAGCCATCAGATTCTTCTTTTGTCTCTCTTCAGTGCCACTGGATAGCTATTGATTAATATTTACTGAATGTTCACAATGTACCAGCTGCCACTGAGATGCAAGTAGCTGATGATCTGTTTAAATTGCTGCTATTTTGTTTGGTTGAAAGAGTCTAACTTGAAACTTTCTGAGGCAGTCTGTGAATGTCACTGCTACGGCAGCATCAGGGTCGAGGCCAGGGTCGAGGCCAGCTCTAGGCTTTTTGGGGATAAGCTGAATGAGCTCAGAGGTGCAGGTAGCTTTGATCTCTTCCCGAAGGAACTTGACTTGGAGAAAATATCTCTTTCTCAGCAGAGAGAAGTAGATGGTGAGGATTGATGTTTCCCAGATAGAAAGGTGATTTATATCTAAGTCTTTGTGGGAGACAGAATGTCTAGGAAAGAAAGAGGAAACCTTTCTAAGTAGAACTTTTGGCCAGGAGTCAGAAGACTGTCACAAGAATGCTGTGTTCTTTGTCCCCCTCTTTCTGTGTGGCGTGGCTTTCTTTCTAGTGTCTGGGAAAGAGAGAGAAACTGAGAGAGAACAGCCTTCATGATAACAGAAACGTGACATGGGCTTTGAGAAGAACAAGTTCACAGGTTCTACAAGGTGGCAATGCAGATCAGAGCAACAGGGAAGTGGGAAAGGCTGCCGGGTGCCCAGGTCATAAGGCGAGTAAAGAGGCTCACAGGTTGCCTTTGAAGTTAAGCACAGTAGTAGGTACATGGGACATTTAAAAAGGAATAAGTTTTTAAATTAAGTTTGATCTAAACAGAATCTTTAAATATATAAAGTTGACCAATTAAAATTATTTCTGATATAGGGAAAGATAATTTGTGGTATATGAAGGTAGGGAATAACATGCTTTCTTTTTCTTTTTCTTTTTTTTTTTCCAGAGCAACTAGTTTAGAAGTCCCGGAGCTGAGGGATGAGGTTTGATGGCACTCAAAGCTGCAACATTGATTTCTTTAGTCAGAATTAGAAAAACATCTTGAAAAACAGTAGATTAAAATACCAGAAGACAGTCTTTCTGGCAGCATATTCTACTTAAAATGATGAGCATTTAGAAATAGCCCTTCATACTATCTAAAAAAATTACATTTTCAAAATTGTAGCAGAAGAAATTACTATTCAGAGTTGAGCTTTGTGATGTTTAAGTGAAAAAGGAAAAAGGCAGGAGAAAAAGGATGGAGGCAAGAGAGATGAAGAAGTAGACACAGTAATAGAAACAATATAGGAATTAAAAAGTGGATATAACTACTAATACTGTAGAAATTTAAAAAATCAATAATATATTTTGATGCACACCTTTCTGCCAGTAATGTTTAATACTAATACAAAATGGATAATTTCCTAAAAAACAATAATTTAAAAAACGACTCATGGAGAAATTAGGAATCAAAATATACCAATAGCCATTAAAGAAACTGAATCAGTAATCAAAAGGCTAAGCTTACCCAGAATACATAAAACTCAGATGCTTTTATATGTGATGCTTAACAAATCTTCAAGCAATAAATAGTCTCTTTATTACATAATGTGTTTTAGAGAATAGAAAAAGAGAAAGCTATCTAACTCATCTGGCTAGTCACTAAAAGTAAACAAGAAAGTACAAGAAAGTTACAGACTACTCTCACTAATGAATATAAATCAGATATTCCTAAGTAGAATATTAGTCAATTAGGTCAGCAGTATGTATGACCAAAGAATATTTATTTAAGAAATGAAGGCATAGTTTAATATTTTAAAATCTATTAATGATTACTATGAAGGGAGATTATATCATAAAGCATATGATCATACCAATAGACACAAAAAATTCCGATAAAATTCAACATTCATCTAGGATTAAGAATTCTAACCAAACTACAAATAAGAATGTCCTAACTTGCTAAAAGATATCTTTTTAAAATCAAATTATGTATTAATCTATAACTGTAATTCCAATTGAAATCCAATAGAGATTCTCATGACATACGACAAGCTTATCTTAAAGGTCACTGGGAGGAGCAAAAAGTTAAAAAGAGCTAAGATACTTTGAAATACAAAAGATAGTCGGACTTGTCATTATTATAAAGTCTTGGCGACTAAGACATGTGATCTTGGCGTGGGATAGATTAAAAAGAACCAGTGAAACAGAATAAGGAGTCTACAAACAACCCCAAACATACATGAAAATACATATATGACAGAGATGTCATTTCCGATAAGCATGGAAAAAATAAAATCTTCAATAAAGATGGAAAATTATAAAGCCCTATTTCCCAACATACACAAATTCCAGAGAGACCAACGATTTAAGTGTGAGAAGTGAAATTTGAACACTTTTAGCAAATAATACAGGAAAATATATTTATGACCTCAAAGTAGAAAAATGTTTCTTAAACAAGACATAAAAAGCAAAAACCATAAAGCAAAATATAAACAAATTGGACTCCATTAAACTCAAAACTTCTGTAAAACAAAAACCCCACAATACATATGCACATGCGCGCACACACACGCACCCCCTTCCCCCCGCTAACACACCCACACTGGGAGAAGATATTTGTGATGCACATAACCTTCAAATTGTTACTTGAATTAAAATGCATGCTTACAAGTCAACATAAAGTAGACAACCCAACAGAAAAAAAAAGGATGGCTCAAGCCTGTAATCCCAGCACTTTGGGAGGCCGAGGCAGGTGGATCACAAGGTCAAGAGATCGAGACCATCCTGGTCAACACAGTGAAACCCTGTCTCTACTAAAAATACAAAACATTAGCTGGGCATGGTGGCACGTGCCTGTAATCCCAGCTACTGAGGAGGTTGAGGCAGGAGAATTGCCTGAACCCAGGAGGCAGAGGTTGCGGTGAGCCGAGATTGCGCCATTGCACTCCAGCCTGGGCAACAAGAGTGAAACTCCGTCTCAAAAAAAGAAAAAAGGAGGGGGAAAATAAGTGAATAGGCAATCTATTGTGTGAGAAATGCCCATGGTCCACAAATACGTGGAAAGATGCTCAACCTCACTAGAAATATAAAAAACAAAAGTGTAAAAAATGACAAGATGTCATTTCATCCTCATATTTGCCCAAATTAATGCCAAATACTAGAAAAGAGGAAGCGGAATGAAAGTTCTCATATATTGCTCCTCAAAGAACTAAAACAATACAAAAAGGAGAATAATTGGCAATAAAATAAAAGTAAAAAAGTGCTGCCTTGTGACTCACAACTCCACTTCCAGAGGTGTAAAGAGACCCATGCACAGGTGTGTAGCGAGACAGATTAGGAACATTCCTTGCAGTGTTGTTGGTAACAGCGAAAACTCAGAAACAATTTATATGTCCATCAAGAAAAGACAATATTAAAATCAATCATGATGTATTTCACAGTGGAACACCACATAATGCTTCAAAATGGGCCTGTTGACAAATGGTTAAATATAAAAATATATTTAAAACATTGCCTGAACAAGATAGGCTGCTAACCTCTGTAAAGTGAAAGAGAATGGACTGGGGAGGGAATACCCTGGGGAGTTTCAACTATCCCTATACACTACTACTTTATTCCTTAGGAAAAACAACATGGAGCCATATGGCAAAGTGTTAGCTTCCAATAGAGCTGGGAAGTGGCCGGGTTATGCTGTTCTCAGTTCTCTTCTACAGATCTGGAATAACTCCTAATAAATTAAAACATAGGAAAAGCAACAAATGAGTTGCATTTCTACAACTGAAGTGAAATGCAGCAACACCTGCAGCAACAACAGGTCACTGAGTCAGCTGAGAGACTAAGACCATCCTTGCAGCCAGGTCAGTGGGTAACTAAGAACAGCAGGAACCTATGCAGAGAGACGATAGTTAACGCCCGAATTAGATGCTTGTTGGTGGCTGGCACCCCATTAAATAACTGCCTCATAGTTTCACCACACAGTTTCATCTTCTTTTCAGTGCCTTCCTATTTTTAGAATCTGATGTTCTGAGATAAAGAAACATTTTTGTGCTTCGTAAACCTAGAGAAGTGGACCCTCCCCCAGCCATGTTCTCAACCATCTGGCCTTGCAGAGACTGGGAATCTGGCTTCGCATCAGATTTGTGAAAGCACTGAGAACGTAAATGACTTCTGGGACCAGGAGGGTAAATCATCAGGATCCAGACGTGGGCAGGTGTAAGCCTGGGAAGTGGAGGGGAAGTGGAGAGGGCCTGGAGAAGGCAGCTAAGGAGGGAAGTGGCCACAGCTTTAGCTGATTGTGGGCACATGGAAATGAGGCTGTGTCATCAGATTTTCCAATTCAGAGGAAGCCAGAAATTTGAATTCTTTTTTAAAAATGTGAGATCTCCTGTTTTTTAAATGCTTCAAGTAATTTGAACATATCTTAAAATAATACGTAGCAGAAAACAACAACGAGAACAACATGAAGCAAGCCTCTCCTGGATTCTTTTTCTTTTTCCTATTCATTCTATTTCTAGAGCTCCTTGAAGACTTCTGCTAGCAGACCATCATCTTGTTTAGAATTGGCAGAGAAAGCACCAGCTGCTGGAATCCCACGACCGACTGGGTCTCACTACTGGCCCCAGTTGCTGAGGAACTTCAAGTGCAGAGCAACAATGAAGACACACATACTCTCTTTCCTCTCTCTCTCTCTCTCAATCTCTCTCTCTCTCTCTCAACTGTCAACAATTGGCATAGTCAAAAATAAAGCACAGACCTGACATGTCAGCCTTGTGAAATCCAAACAGGACCACTGAATGAGCTGGAAAGAGCCATGGCACTCACTGCGTGATGAACTGTGACCTCAATTCACACTATCCCTTTTATGCACTTCTGCGGTCTCCTCCCACTTCCTCACTCACGTGCATCCCAAGGGTAGCCCCTGAAGCCACGTGAGTTTTTCCAGTTCCTTCATAACAGCTTACCGCAAGTGGGGAAACTGAGGGCCGGCATGGCATAGGCGGCCCATGAGTCACAACACTGCACTGTTACATCCAGAAAACAGCCTCTATGTGGAGGCACCAGTGGTGTCTCAGGAATTTGATGAGTGCGTTGTCGGCACAGGTGTGCATTGAGGGTCTAAATAACACCTGATCACTTCACTATACTTTGTTTTTCCTGCTATGGAGAGAAGATTGTGGAATCAGAAGAAAAAATTTAGAATTGGTACAGAACTGCTCTTATTTGCAGTTATAAAAAGGAACTGTACATTTTCCCAGCCTTCCAAGATGATAACGCTGGGTTTTATTTTTGGAAAAAGTACTTTTCGTCTTGTAAAAATTTAATGGCCTTTCAGTGACAGGGAAGTTCTGAGTGGTTTTTACTGGCTCTTTTCTGGCCGCAGCAGAAGGTGAATGCTAGGGCTAGGGCCTTCTCCCTGCTTGAAGGGATGGCCAGGCAGAGGAAACACGCCCCCTCCATTGTCTGGGTGCTGCTGCTTCGCAAATTGTTCCTGTACAACATTCTTTTCTTCCCTCTCTGAGCTAGAGGCAAGGCAAAGGTAGCCAGATCTTTAGATAAGATTGCCAATATTAACATCTAACTTCTGGTAGTACTTTTCTGTCTACAGATGTCTAAGTGCCAATTCCTTTCTCTTTTAGATTTGCAATGAGCAGAGACTTCCTTCTACTTGGTGTTAATATAAAATGATCATACATCTAATCATTAATATAAAACTTGAACCAGGGCTTCTCAAGGTTGAACATGCATCTGAATCACCTGGGGGATTTGTTAAACTGTAGATTCTGATCCTGTTTGTGGAGCAGGCTGCCAGGCTGCTATTACTGTCAGGTGATGCTGATGTTGCTGGCTCGTGGACTGCACCTGGAGGAGCAAGGGAGGGTTCAGGATAACAGAAGGGGAGGCTGAGAAGAAGATGCAGTTTCCCTCTTTTTGTTCTGAGGTTGTCCTGTTCTTGCCTTACCCAGGATAATCATCCATCATCCAAGCCTACCTCCTTGGGAGGATGCCTTGGCTACCAGCAAGGACCCAGGAGGAGGCTGGGTGTGTGTGTTTCTTTGTGAAAAAAGACAACAGTGCTAGCAGTCATTGTTCTCAGAACAGATGCTCTGGTTCTTTAGCTCCCCTGACAATTATTCTCCAGGATTCTTAGATCAGCAGCTGAGGCTGGAGGAGGTGAGCCTGCAATCAGAAGGTGTTGGTGGAAAGAAGCTCTGTGGACGCTTGAAAGCAGCAAATTATCAGTTGTGTTTGTTTTGAGGTTGTGGCAGACTAGGTAATTGAGAGAGAGAGGGTGAGGATGCTACTAGTCTGCTCCAAGATTTTTCCCTGTCGCAGACTGGATGGAGTGAAATTAAGCTTTTAAGTGCCAGGCCTTTTGGCCAGAGTCCCTGGCACACAGATGGTGTCACAGGCCGGCTCCTTTCCTGCTCCTGACACAGAGGTGTTGAGGGCCTTCAGGCCCTGTAGGACTGCAACAGATGTTGTTTGGTTCCGGCAACTGAGCAGGAGCCTTGGCTGCAATGTAAACATTTCATCAGTTCCGGTTCTTTTGCTGCTCTGCCTTTGAACAATTCCTTTCTTAGAGGTGTCTACGTCCACCTGTCCAGGCTTTCGCTGGTTAGCTACTGATGGGAAGGGGCTGTAATGTATTCCCAAAGCTTGCCCTGCTTATCACTTTACTGCAGAAGGCCCTATATACAGACCTAGGGGGAGAGCAGACTCACCGACTGTCCAGATGCTGCAGTTGACAAATCCCACTCACTACCTCTCTCATACACTCTGATAGAGGTGCTGGCCCATCAGTATTCATCATGGCTGGAGTAAAATAAAGCTGGCAGCCCTCAGTGTACAATGTCTTCAAAAGTTTTAGAATATCTCCAACTAATTCTGATCAGTTTCTAGAATAAAGTTATACCTACGATTTTTCCTAAATAATTTTGGCAATGGTAAAAAAATTTTTTTTTTAATTAGAATGATGTCCTACTCAAATTAAGAAAAATGAGTTGGGGCCAGGCACGGTGGCTCACGCCTGTAATCCCAGCACTTTGGGAGGCCAAGGTGGGTGGATCACAATGTCAAGAGATCGAGACCATCCTGGTCAACATGGTGAAACCCCGTCTCTACTAAAAATACAAAAAACATCAGCTGGGCATGGTGGCACGTGCCTGTAATCCCAGCTACTCAGGAGGCTGAGGCAGGAGAATTGCCTGAACCCAGGAGGCGGAGG